CTCTTGTGTCAGCCGCACCTCTCCATCTCGCTGTTGGGAAAAAGTTGAGAGAGAGAGACTGGAATGTGAAGATGACATTTTTACATCTTTGTAAGGATACCTTGACTCAACGAGAGAAAAAGAGACAGGGCAGTGCGGGGGAGGTGGGTGAGTGGGCATAAGGGGGGAGGGGGATTATTGTGCGTTATGAAGAGATCACGTGATTAATTACCCTCGAGTCGGGGAAGTGGGCTGACACGCCAGCGGCCCTCCGGCGTGAGCAGCAGGACACTTCGATCTGCTGACCCGGAGGAACTTCATCCCTTCAAGATCAATAACCAATGTAGTCTTATTCTACGCCGGCCCTGAGTGCCACTGAGAGCCAGGCCCACTCAGTGCCACCGATGCCGCGAAGTCACCTGCAGGAAAGGGGAAAATCGCGTGGGCCAACAGCGTCCGCGAAGTTCTATTTACATCCGCAGAAGCCACACGGAGCTGTCGATGCCGCGGCAAATAGAGGGGGGGGGGGGATCGGGGAAATAGATAAGGGCGCCCTAAATAAAGTTACCCGGGCGCGCAGCAGGTACAAAGAGGAACGAAAGGCGCTCCTAAATGCATCGGCGCTACGAGGGATACGAGGGTCGATAGCGATGCCGAAGGGTGCGAGCGGCGATGCTGAGGCGCTTCTGGGAACTGGAAAAGATTCTCGCGAAACGGGGATCCCGTGTTTACTTCCCCCCCCACCCCCCCGCCACCCCCCAGGAGAGCCTAGTTTGCCCTCGAAGTTTGCCGGCGCGTTTTCTGCGAGCGAAAAATAATGACCAATGCATTTTGGCGGCTCTTATTAAAATGAATTCCGCGAATTCTGCCGAGGTCGCGTACTGGCGGGAGGGGGAGGGGTAGGTGGAAGGGGAGGGGTGGAGGGAGTGTGGGTAGAAGAGGAAGGGGTAGAAGGAATGTTGGGTGGAAGAGGAGAGGGTGGATAGGAGGGTGTGCGGAGTAGGTGGAAGAGGGGTAGGTGGATGGGGAGGTGGGTGGAAGAGGGGTAGGTGGATAGGAGGGTGGGTGGAGTAGGTGGAAGAGGGGTAGGTGGATGGGAAGATGGGTGGAAGTGGAGGTAGTAGATGGAAGAAAGGTTCGGCGAGAGAGAAGGGGCGGTTGGAAGGCCGAGTGGAAGAGGAAGGGGTAGGCAGGTAGAAGAGCAAGGAGGTGGATCGGTCGGTGCCTTTAAGAGGAGTAGGGAAGGAAGAGTGGGAGGAGGAAGCATTCGGGGGAAGAGGAGGAGTAGGGAATGAAGAGGAGGAGGAGGAGGAGGAGGAGGAGGAGGAGGAGGAGGAGGAAGCATTCGGAGGGGAAGGGAGGATGGGGAGGGGGAGGAAGGAAGAAGGAGAGGGAACACGAATGAGACATTAATCCGTGCTCGGAGATTAAAAGGTTCTCTCTGCTTGTTCTTGTGATGTTCTTCCTAAATGAGGCCTGATCCCGAGCTGTTGCCATCGAGCGGGGTTGGCATTTTCTCACACGGTTACTTTGCTGATTAATCTCTATAAATATGTAGGAAGCAAAAGAAGCGGGAATTTTGCAAATCGAGATGTTATGGGCTTTTGTACACAAGTTCTCCCAGCTGGGACGCGCCTGTTATGCTGATGATAATGGTACTGCGAATGGAGACGCGAGAGTGGTGGGGAGGAAGATGGGATGGGGAGGAGGGGGATGATGCGAGGGATGGTGGGGAGGAAGATGATGATGATGGTGAGGAAGATGAAGAGGAAGATGGGAATGAGGAGGAAGGGGATGATGGTGGTGAGGAAGATGAAGAGGAAGATGGGGATGAGGAAGATGATGATGATGGTGAGGAAGATGAAGAGGAAGATGGGGATGAGGAAGATGATGATGATGGTGAGGAAGATGAAGAGGAAGATGGGATGATGCGAGAGTGGTGGGGAGGAAGATGGGGATGGGGAGGAGGGGGATGATGGTGGTGAGGAAGATGAAGAGGAAGATGCGAAAGAGGGGGAAGGGGATGATGGTGGTGAGGAAGATGAGGAAGAAGGGGATAATGGTGGTAAGGAAGATGAAGAGGAAGATGGGATGATGCGAGGGATGGTGATGAGGAATATGCGAATGAGGAGGAAGATGATGATGGTGGTGAGGAAGATGAAGAGGAAGATGAGAATGAGGATGAAGGGGATGATGCGGGAGATGGTGGTGAGGAAGATGATGATGCAAAAGATGGTAATGAAAAAAATAGAGATGCAAAAGGTGGTAGCATCATCATGCGAGGGATGATGATGCAAAAAATAGAGATGCAATAGTGAAGAAGTTGGTGTTGAGGAAGATTATGATAAGGAAGATGAAGAGGATGATAAGGTGATGAGTAGGATGGTGTTGCGGGAGATAAGAATGAGTAGGATGGTGATGAGGAAGATATAGATGCAGAGGACGGTGATGATGAGGAAGGTGGTGTTGAAAGTGATGGAGGAGATGGTGATGCGAGAGATGCTGGTGGGAAAGGTGGCGA